GTCAGTAAAACCATGATTGGGACACTTGAGGAAGAGACTGGTGTATCTCTCCCAAGCATCCCTGATGGTCTCATCTTCATCCTGAGCAAAGTGGGTAATTTGCTTCTGCAGGTCCGCCGTATTGGACGGAGGATGGTAGTGAGTGAGGAACTTGTCCGCCAGGTTGGCGAACATGGTGATCGAACTTGGAGGTCGAGTGTCTAGCCACTCCTTGGCCTGCCCCTCCAGAGTAAATGGGAAGTACCTCAGCTGGATGGTATCGGCTGGGACCCAATTTATCTTGATCCCAACGATGAGCTCGTGGAATCGCCTTAAATGTGATCGGGAGCATTCCCCCTCTTTGCCACGGAACACTACCGAACCGCGCAGCATGGTGATGACAGAGGTGCTCACCTCAAAGTTATTCGCTGGCACATGAGGGTGCTGAATGGGTGACCTCATGTCCACGGCTCTGGCGGTCCAGTAGTATCCCATGGTCTGCTCCTCAGGAAGGACCACATCATGGTCTTGTGGATTTCCCATCTCTCCTTTGTCGGCGATTTGCAGCTGTGCTAGTGCCTCCTCCGCAGCCAGTCGCGCCCTTAGAGCCCGCTTGAAGTTCCTACAGGTCCGTTCAAGCTCTTGGTCTATTGGTAGTAAATCTCCCGACTGGCTACGGGTCATGCACTACCTGCACACAATCAGCAAAAGCAACTCGTGAAGCACACAGATGGAAGAGAGCGAATGCAGTAAAGAAAAAAATTAGAGTAACAAACTTTCACGTTTCCCCAATAACTTAGAGGGTCCTCGGCAACGGCGCCAAAAATTGGGTACGCTACGACACAACACCAAACTGCGACCAAGTGTAATCGCAGTCCGGGAATGCAGTAAAGTGGCAAGTTATAATTATCAACCCGGGGTCTAGATCTACTGCCTACTCCGTCAATATCTATTATCTAGCCAAATAAGTCGATTGATTGTGGTTTTAACTAAAAGCAGTAAGAAAGCATGAAAAGATTCGGTTTTCAAAAGCAAAGGAAGAGTCACTCGGGAATGAGTCCCCCTAGCTCCTTAGTCAGGTCACAATTGTAATTACCCTGGGTTGATTTACTGTTGATTAAATTGCGGAAGATCCGAAAGTAGCTTGGAATCTCTTAAGCTGACCAAGCCTCTCAGTCCAACTACCCGGCAGACGACTAGTCTTCACCGTGATAGAAAGCTGAGGCTATGAACACAGAACTCCACTACTGGAATTGGATTCCAGTACAAAGCAATATATTGACTAACTCTTGTATAACCAATCTACCACTACCGAATGATGAAGCTCTAACAACCTAACCAGATTCTATCTATCTCAGGTTGCAGCAAAAATCAAGAAAAGATTATCAGACTTCAATTGATTCAATGAATCATGCATCATTCGATTAAAACCAAACAGTATAATAATCCCAAGTCATTACAATCAAGATCCCTAACACATGGAACTAGGGTTTCTTCATACCCAAGTGAGAGAAGGTTCTACTCCATAGAGAGAGAGGAAAACAAAAATCAGAGTAGTCATACTCATAAAGATGAGGATAATCTGCTCTGAGATGATGATCTTCACTCCTGGGGATGCAATCTGGCTTCAATCGTGTGAAATCCACTCCAAATAGCTCCTAGGGTTTGTTCTTCGCACTTTCTCTCTCTAAAACTCTGTTTTTTGCTAAAAAAAATCGACCCTCTCTCCTTTGGCTCGAATCTGCCTCAAAAACCCGATTCTGGGTGAATTATGGTCGTAATCATAGTCTGCCCGTAATTGCCCAAAACCTGCGTTTCACTTATCTTAGAAGAAAGGATTTACGCTCGTAATTACCCAATTACTTCCAGTAATTATGGAATTACGACTGTAATCACTATGACTCTTGCCCGTAATTTTCTCTGCGATAGGAATTCTGAAGAATAAGGCTCGACATTGCATTTACGGGCAAGCCAGGAGCAATTACGCCCGTAATTGTGCAGGGGTTGCCCGTAATTTGCTCTTTGAATCGCCACCTGACCTCCGATTGACCTGAAACTTGCACCTATGCACCTCTTTACTTGCTAGGACCTAGAATACGACAAAACAACACAACCTAGCGTAAAATAGACCAAGGAACAACAAATTCGAGCTAAATTGGTCAGGAAACAAGGGTGAAAACAAGTGCAAATATGACACTATCAGTAGCCTTGAACAAGGTCTTCCCTAGATGATCCATCATTATCTTCTTTCTCTTCAACCACTTCTGTCTCTTCTTCCTCCTTTTCATATCCACATTTGATAAAGAGCCAATCCGGAGGAATTCTAGGGTCGCTAGTGTCGGCGGAGTCGTACCTAGGGATGACAATTTTGACATGACCTGTTTTACCCAACCTGTTTGGCCTGTTTTGAGACGGGGGCGGGACGGGCATGGGTACCTCTCATCGACCCGACTTTCCTTGACCCGCCCCATTCTCGACCCTTTCTTGCCTAAATTACATGTAATCTTAGTCAAATTACTTACAATTTTCCTTTTATTACCTCATATTTTAGGTATAATAAAGTTGTAAATAAGTAAAAACCTCAATTTCTCCAATAATTTAACTACATTTTATCATATTATGGTTTGTTTCTTGGTATTTTGATGAAAATAACGAATATTTCTAATACCAATCATATAAATTACATACCCATTGGGTCGACCTGCTCCAAACCGCGCCCCATGATAAATTACCCGACCTCGACCTGACCTGCCATGGGGAGGGTATGGGTATCGAGATACTCGCCCTGGACCTGCCCAATTGCCATTTCTCGTACTCTATATTGAAGTGCTCCACGGCCAAACCCGCCCCGATTTTGATCTTCGGTAGTGGTGTGGGATGAATCACCTCTTTATTCTTGGAGCTTGAGATCTCTCCCTCTTCCCTTAGACCAATATTTCAAGGCTTGCCGAATTCATGATGAAGAAAATATTGAGCAAGCCGAGCACACAATTGCCTTGTTGCTTGTCTTTATTATAGTACCTCTTCCGAATCTGATACAAGGTTGGAAGGAGGTGAATTTGAGAAAGCTTCCATTGTGGAATGCACTGTCTCACTCTTTATTAAGAAGTCCGCTAATTCAAACTCTATGTTCAGTCTAGGCTCTGGGAGTGATTGAGGATTCAACTCGTGGTATGAAGGGCGTTCTCGGTAAAGTGGATGAAATTGGCACCCTTGGGGGTATTTTTGTTGATCGTGGAGAGGGGTCGATTATGGATACCCGACTTGTTTGCTATTATCATCACCTGAAGCTCCGGGATTAACTACTCAAGGTTCCACATACTTTAAATCGAATCTACATACAACACAATTTCTTTGCGATTTATGCTTTGATGCACTTAAGCACATGAGTAGAGGAGGAAACTTTTAAATACTAAGGACTTAGCCATTGGGCCAGAAAACGAATTATTTTTTAATTTTATAAACTTTGTGGCCGCTCTTCTTATTCTTTAATTAATTTCTTTATTTATTTATTTATTCGATTTGATTTTCTTTATTGATGGAGAACAAAAGAGCAAACAACCACATTCCCCCAAAGATTCCAACCCAAAACTCACCTTTTGGTGAAACAGAAAACAGTGTAAAAACAAACCACATGGAACATTGAAAAGGATTCAAACAAATGTAGACTTGAAAAAATAGGGATTGACGTTAAACAAGGTGATATAAGCAATAAGTTAAGGCTCAAGTCCTGAGTAGGTGGTATGACTCGTGATGAGGGCTCATGGATGTTTAGCTTGAGTCTCCATCTTCAAGACCTCTTGCTTCGTATTTCTTATGTTTGCTTGCTGACCCAAACCAAATTTGACAACTTGGACCGTCATCATTGCATCCACCAAGAGGAACCAATGATGGTGTGACAAAGAAAAATCGCAAATGTGACTTTCTGTGTTACTCGTGGCTTGTAAGAGGCTCAACCACCATGACCTCATACTTCGATTGGACTCCAATTTCTTCTTCTATTTCCCTTGTTTATTCACACATAAGTGTCCCCCTGTAAAAATCAAGATCCTTCTCTTTTGTTATCTCTTCGTCCTCCACAATCTCTTCTCTCACCTTGCCATCCTCCTCTTCAAACACGCGACGAAGTGCAAGGTTGATAGAAACCTACATTTCGATTTATTTAGCATTTGGACTTATTTGCTACTTTATGTGTTTACAAATTTATTGGTTTTGGTGGATTTGATTGGGGGTTTAATAAGTTGGGGTAGTTATCGGTAATTAGGAATTGTTTTAAACTATTTTTCTACGTTGAATGAGATTAGCAAATAGATTAAAACCTAATCATATTCTAATCCCTCTCCCTCTTCCTCTCTAGCACACTCGACCCACACCAGGAGCCCAAATCAAGGCTCCTTTCCCATTTTCAAACCCTTTTCCATCATTAGATAGATCCCAGAGAACGGGTTTCTATCATCTGGTATCAGAGCCCGATCCCGACTACTGAGTTTATCGCAACTCTACACCGGGACGGGCACCAGAACCATGTCGGATCAAAGGCGGCTGCGGCCACGACCAGGCTTCCTCGCCACTGGCGGACAATCGGCGCGAAGGTGTCGTGGTGGACGAGACGGAGTATGACAACTCCAAGCCTCGATGCGCACCATCATGGCGATGCAGTTGAGGGCCGACTCCAACATGGAGGAGGTGCAGGTTGAGGTTGAAAAGGCCAGGCGTGAGAGTGACGTGATCATGCAACTCCTCACCAGCATGCAGGAGGAGCAGAGGCGGCTGGCGACAGCGTTAGGGCTTGGCGGTGGAGATCGGGGCGAGGTGGAGGCGACCCGGTCGAGCCCAGCGGTGGCGGCGGGCCCTCGCGCGGGCACTGGAGGAGGAAGTGCGGCGACTTTCCCTGTGGCTAGCGGGGCGGCGACGGGGCTATGAGGAGAGGCGGCCTCGATACTAAGGGGCCTCGTAATGGGCCCGGGCTGCTGCCGACTCCGACGACTGAGGAGATTGCGGCCATACGTGGTAAGGCGAAGATGTCGGGCTACGACAACGTGGTCGTGAAACCGTGTTTCAACCGAATGGGTCCACACCCCATGGAGCGCGAGATGGGCCGCGTGCAGTGGGCCGGGGGCGGGTTCGATCGGGTAGGTGGGGCGGACCGAGTTCTGGTGAACCGGCCGGGCCGAATGGTCGAACCGGATCGGGCTGGGGCGAAGGAGGTCGGATCGGGGTTGGGTGGACCAAAACCGTTCGAACCGGTGACGGGTGGACCATTGATGGGCGGACCGGGGCGGGGTGAATCGAGGAGGGTCGACAGCGGCCGAACCGGGGCGGGGTGGACCGCCAATGGCCGAACCAGGGTGGGCCGAACCGCAACCGAACCACACCAGAACCAGGGCTCCAGTGCATACGGACCTCCGATCGCAGCAGCAGTAGGAGATTCAGGGGGTCAACCGGGGAGGTACGAAGACTACTTAGGCAAGGAAGGGCATGGCTGGGGTTCAGGAGGCGACGCACGCGGACCTCCTGGGTATCACAGAGGCTACCCCAGTGCTGGCAGGTATGGGGGTATGTGACACGCTACAACACAACACCAAACTGTGACCAAGTGTAATCGCAGTCCGGAAATGCAGTAAAGTGGCAAGTTCTATTTGTCAACCCGGGCTCTAGATCTACTGCCTACTCCGTGTATATCTGTTATCTAGGAAACTAAGTCGATTGATTTTGGTCTTAACTGAAAGCAGAAAGAAAGCAGGAATTGATTCGGTTTTCTAAAGCAAAGGAAGAGTCACTTGGGAATGAGCCCCCCTAGCTCCTTAGTTAGGTCTCAGTTGCAATTACACTAGGTTGATTTACTGTTGATTAAACTACGAAAGATCCGACAGTAGCTTGGAATCTCTTAAGCTGACCAAACCCTCTCAGTTCAACTACGGCAGACGACTAGTCTTCACCAGGATAGAAAACTGAGGCAAAAAGCACAGAACTCCACTACTGGAATTGGGTTCCAGTACAAAGCAGTAGATTGATTAAATCTCGTACAACCAATATACCACTACCGAATGATGAAGCTCCAACAACCTAATCAGATTCTATCTATCTCAGGTTGCAGCAGAAATCAAGAAAAGATTATCAGACTTCAATTGATTCAATGAATCATGCATCATTCGATTAAAACCAAACAGTATAACAATCCCAAGTCATTACAATCAAGATCCATAACAAATGGAACTAGGGTTCTTCATTCCTGGGGATAACAGAAATCAGAGTAGTCATACTCATAAAGATGAGGATAATCTGCTCAAGGATGATGATCTTCACTCCTGGGGATGCAATCTGGGCTTCAATGGTGAGAAATCCACTCCAAATAGCTCCTAGGGTTTGTTCTTCGCACTTTCTCACTCTAAAACTCTGTTTTTGCTCCAAAAAGTCCAACCCCTCTCCTTTGGCTCGAATCTGCCTCAAAAACCTGATTCTGGGCCAATTACGGGCTGAATTACTATCGTAATCATGGTGTGCCCGTAATTGCCCAAAACGCGCGTTTCACTTATCTCAGAAGATAGGATTTACGGTCGTAAGTACCTAATTACTACTAGTAATTATGGAATTACGACCGTAATCAATATGACTCTTGCCCGTAATTGCCTCTGCAATAGAAATTCTGAAGAATAAGGCTAGGCATTGCATTTACAGGCAAGCCAGGAGAAATTACAACCGTAATTGTGTAGGGGCTACCCTTTTTATTTTCTCTTTGAAACGCCACCCGACCTCCAAATGTCCCCAAGCAAACCAAGTCAGATACAAGGTAAGCTCGAAATAGCCCAATCATGCAACCCCTTGGGGACATATCACATAGGCACGAAACACAGGAATCATACTGGCTTTCAAACATCAACACCTGAACAACTTCAACCGCAACCTGGACAACCACCACAGAGGACATTCGAGTGCAGCAAAATCGAGTAAAGGAGGAGTCTCCGTTCTGTTCACCAACCAACATAGACTTAAATCAACGACTTACTCAAGACAGTCACCTCACGCATAAAACTTGATGACTCGGTATTTGCACATGTTTTCCCCTTTGTTTCTTGATTGTTTGAGCTTGAATTATTGCGTCTTTGGCCTATTTTATGCTAGGTTGTGTTCCTTTGTCCCATTTCAGGTCCTAGCACATAAAGTGAAGCATAGGCGCAAGTTTCAAGTCAATCAGAGATCAATTGACGATTCGAGAGAAGAAACTCGGGCATGACCTGAAGAAGAATGGATTTCTACCTCACTTTATGGACAAAGAATCATGCAAGCTTGTTATGAAACGAAAGAGGACGAGACTACGAGCGTCTGGGATCAAACGGCGATTGATTCGGAGTCCGGACGAGGGAGAAACGAAGCATTAAACAGAGGCTGAGCAAGCTGCACGGGCAGACCAGCGTGGCCACGCACGGCCGTGCAAGTGACCAGTTTGGCCGTGCGGGTTGGCTGAGGTTCAACTAATTGATACGCCGCGTTTTGAGGTGCACGGCCAGAATGGTGATGTGCACGGCCGTGCACCCTGGCCGTGCGAGTCGGGATTTTCTCCTTTTAAGCAGAATTTCAGCCACAATTCGGGGGGATTCGAGTTTTTGAGAGAGAGATCAGTTCCTAGAGAGAGAAAGTGACGAGCAAGAGTTCCCAAGTGCCCTAGATTGATCTTCAACACCATTGGAGGCCAGCTTGAGCTTGGAGAAGTGCCAATCAACGTCCAGAAGCAGGAATCCATCCTTTGCAGTATGAATTCCGTGTCTGATTCTGCTTTTGCTTTCTTCTCCATGGAGTAGTTCTCCCATTCATCTGGGTATGGAGAACCCTAGATTTGTATGTTAGGCTTTGATTGTATGAACCCAAGTACTGATTCTGTGATTGATTATATTCGATTGAGGTTTTAATGATTGAATGACTTGAATCCTGATCAAATTCCTGTTGTTTCTGCTTTAACCTAGAATGAGAATATCTGCCTAGGTTAATAGAGTATCCTTGATTGAAGGTAGGGAGTTGGTGACTTTAGTCGAGGAGCCAACTCACTATTCTGTACCGGATTTACTCCGGTAGTGGAGGTTTTGTTCTTAGGGCCTCAATCTGTCGACTCCGGTGGAGGTTAGTCGCCCGCTAGAGAGTCAGATTGAGAGGGTCTGAAGACCTTTAGTCGAGACTTCAGACTGTTTAAGAACCTTCCGCAGTATAACTGTCATAGAAACTGAACTTGGTAATTACAATCCGGCTTAACTGCAGTCTAGGGGGAACCATATCCGGGTGACCTCTCTTAACCTGAATACAACCAGTTTACTTGCTTTGTTTGTTTGGTAGTTTAGACTTGCACTCCAGTTTTATTGCTAGATAACAAGAACTCACTGAGTAGTCAGCAAATCTAGGACCCGGGTTGATAATTAAACCTAAACCCGCTATACTACGCTTTAGGAAGTGGTTACACTTGGCCAATTCCTGGGGTGACAGTAGAGGCGAGTCAAAACTCAAGGCATCAGAATCAAGACAGAGCCATATAGGTCCTCACCGGGGTAAAGAGTGTAAAGAACAAGGAAATGAATCACTCACTCTCGACCAGTGGGGTCAGGGCAATTTGATGCGAAAAATGCGCATACTTATTCTCTCAATCCCTAACGTCTCTTCACCATGACGGCAGCCTCTAAATGTTAGAGTTCACATAAATGGGTGTCCACACTAACTAATCTGGAGGTCTTAGACACAGGTTCAAGTGACTGGCAAGGGTCTTGGACATGGGGAAAAGGCCTTTTAGGTGGTGGAAGTATTCATAGCACAAGCTTCCACAGTTCCAAATCGAACACAATCACAGCCAATCAAACCAATAACTTTCTTTCTGCTATTCTGCATTACTCAAATTCTCTAAAGCACAAGAGCGAAGGAGGTCACATAAATGTTAGTATTTCCAATCCAGACTGCTAAGAAACACTACTTAATGTGCATTATTCAGATTTTTGTGGTGGTGGCTCTCTTTTGCTTTCATTCAATTTTTCCTTCATTTCTTTTCTTTTTTCATTTCTTGAGAGAACCACCACCTATGCACATTTTTCAAACACATGCCCAACCTTTTAAGAACTACCTCCAACCCTCACATTACATTTAGCAAAACAGCAGAGAACATGTAAAAACCACTATGTGGAACCTTCTAAGAGATGCAAAAAGGTGATTTTTCATTGTAGACCGAAAGAAAGGATGTGACACGGGTCAAAGGGGCTGACTAGGGGGTATGACACACTAGGACAGTCAATTTGGTCGTGGGCTAATCCTATGCCTCCATCATCTTAGCTAATGACAACGTGAATGCTACACATCATAGAAGAGGGAACTATCGCACAAGAAAGAAAAGAGCAGGCTCAAATCTCACATGGCTACCTATATGCTCTATCTCTCATTCTGATTCCCTGAATTAGATGCATAAACGACTATCAAGAGAAAGTGATCAATCCAAGTCATAGTTGGTAAGCAAACAGTTGAAAAACTAAACCCCTACACAATTCTACTGCTCGTCTCAGTCATCATTATAGACTGTCCTAGTCAGAATCCAGTTGTCATGCATTAATCCGAAATCCATTCGATTCACCAATCAAATCCATAGTGCCAATATGATCAAGCAAACAGCAGTGCTTGGAGCCCTCGAATCTCGAGATTTGGACAGCGGACTAGGCTCCAAGCACACATATATATGTTCCAATGAATACAAATAACCCCCCCCCCCCCCCCCACACTTAAATGCGACAGTGTCCTCAATGGAGCAGAGGGAAGGTGAACGATGTTACCTTGAAATAGTGATCAGGAACGGGGACTGGAGGGCGGACCAGTCAATAGCAGAGGACTGGATAAGGACCAGTCCAACAGCACAGAGCTATAGTCAGCAAAACACACACATGGGGTGAAAGAAACCATAGTTCTGATTCTACAATCCAAAGAAACAAGACAAGAGAAAAGGAAACACAATATGGAGTCGTAGTCTTAGTCTGGAAACACAATATGGAGCCCAACTCGATGGGCCAGTAGGTAGAGCCAGCTTAGTTCTCATCGCCTCCATTACTAGTGGGAGGTGGGTAGAAATCCTCATTCCGCGGGGAAGCCTCCCAAGGGTAGCTAACAGCAGCAGGGTCCATGTCCCAGTAGCTCATCATGTAATGCTGAGACGAAATGATGCGGCGCCGACCTTCACGCTCATGGTCGATTCGGGCGTTGATGTGCTCCTGGCTAGCAAGGATCTGCTCGTTCTGGTGGGAAAGGGCTGCCAGCTGCTCAGCAATGTAAGAGGTGGGTGCAGCAGCAGACGGGCCGGCAGCAAAAGTGGATGCGCCAGCTGCAGAAGGCGTAGTCCGACGTGTGGTCCGACGAATGGTACGACTCGGGGCAGCATCGCTCGCCTCGGGGAGATCCTCGCTCTTTGGTGAACGAGGAACAGGTCGAGGAAGTCCCCGGATCCAGGTCACGTCTCCATCGTTGCAGGATCAGTTGGCGCCGTAGGGTGTCCCTGCAGAAGGGTGTCGGTGGGAGGATGACAGTGAACCCGGAGAGGTCGATATTGAAG